TGTTGCTTCATGCCTTTGCTTTCCAGAACCCTGAGCCATGGCTCCTGCTCCCCAGTCACATCCCTGTTTGCCATGGACTCTCAAATCAAGTCAAATTTGGTTTATACAGCATCTCAAATATTGATTTCCCTCAGGGGGCTTTACAATCTGCAAACAGGGTCCTTAGACCCTTGATTTGGATAAGGAGAAAATCCCCCAAAAACCGGACTAAGGACGCACGCTCAGTTAATTGTGTTTGGGTTTTACCCATGCTCGTAAATTTATGTATCTTCCCTTTCTAAATGAATCACTGAACTGTTCATTTGTGGCCTTCTTTAAATTGCTTGCTTGATGACTGATTCTCCTCAAATGAAAAACTTCTGCACCAGCTCATAAATGCTGGGTGAAGATTGTGATGGCACAAACCTCAGATTTGAACATCTAAAACATCCCAGATAAACCAGAAGATTTACAGCAAAGATACAGCAACTAAAAAGAGGACATATCTTCATTAATATGATTTCTTCCTCTGACACTGTGAACCAGAATCTGCAGAGCTGATGATGTCTCATTTTCTCTTGCATTTGTGAAATATCTGAATAGTCTGATGATGCCAGGCTATCAGAGGATGTTTGTTTGCTGATTTAAAGAGAAGTGCTGTTGTTGTGATTACCTGCAGTTTAATATTTTGTGCACTTATGTAAAAGGTTTGTTAAACTGATGACCTGCACTGTGTAAGAGAGTCCTGACATACAGCCAGTCATGAACATGTAGGTACTTCCTGTTGCTGTGGTATAACTGGCATATAACAGCAGACAGCACAATAACAGGATCTTAAAGTAACGACACAGAAAAAAAGGTGTTTTCTATTTCATGAGATGTTTAATAAATATGAAAATGTCAGGTTAAACCACTTGTACTTGTACTGTTTTCACACATACAGACACGTATCATCATCATCATATTCACACCACACTGGTTTTCACTATTGGGAGGTCAGGGAGAGCTCAGGCATGCTAGCAGTGTACTAATGTACCTGGGAGCCAGAGAGAGCCAGACTCAAGGCCTCTGGACCACATCAATATTACAGGACACAGGGCCGAAAAGGACCAAATCAAATATTCATTCATCACCCCTCCTCTCTTCCCTGTTCTTACAGCTCTAGTTCTCTCCAGCCAGACTGTAACACACTGAAAACACACACGGGCTGTGTTCACATCTTAACCCTCAGTGTAGAGGCTCCAATTGTGTATTCAGTTATTCAGAGTTCCTGGGGGACAGTTTGGGTTGAGTGTTACATGGAATGAGAGCTCCATTTGGGGTCAAATGCAGAACAAGGACACGATAACGCTGAAGAAAGGCTGTCGGGTTCTGCTTTTGGAGCTCACATACGGTCTATCCTTTAGTACTAACCTGCATGTGCACAGATAGCAGTCAGATCTCTATTAGTAGCAAATTAGACTCATTATATAGACAATGTCTCAATTCAAAGTATTACATTTATTATTATTATTATTATTATTATTATTATTGTTATTATTATTGTTATTAAACATTCGTTTCTGTCTAAGCAGTATCTGAATGACTGTATATTGTTTCATCTACAACTGTGATTATATCATGAACTTTTTGAAGTGTAAAATCGTGATTCAAATTGACTATAGCTGTAATATCAAATGTAGTGACGTAGGAGTGTGGAATAAATACATAAGTACCTCAAATTTGTAATTACAGAACTTGAGTAAATTGACTTAGTTCCATTCTTCCACAGCAGTCACCCTATACAGCGAGACATGTGTGACAGTAAATGTTGAGGTTGATAATAGATCCTTTTTGTAATAACCTGCAATCCAGAAAATATACAGAACAAAATGTTTTAGGTATTTATTGAAGTGTTTTAAGGATTTTGATATAGGTTAAAGAGAATCTTCACAGCAGGTGAGAATCTTGTTTTTGTTGACCTACAGAAGGGAAAGTTCAGGTTCTGATGAAGCAAATGAATTATACTGACTAAAACATGTCATATTCAGTGTTAATGTGCAAAGTATTCATCCAGTTCAGTCAAAAACATTTCCATTATTTGCAGGAAAGATATTGCAGTAAAGGTTCCTAAAAAGGAAAAGTGACAGTAAACTGCAGTTTCCACAAACTTTTAGAAAAAAACAAAAATACTCTTGTTGTTGGAGCGCCCATAACTGCCTTACAGGCAATCTGGGGCCTTAAAGTAAAGTTTAGGAAACACTGAGGTTAGCTAACTGAATACACTGTAAATGAAATGTGAGGTACAGTTTAGGTTACTGACTTTGTGTTCTGTTACCATTAAAAACTACCAATTATAATAGTCCACACTTCCAAAAGACAATTAGGGAAGATATCAAAAGACTAACAGTCCTACCCATCTCAATATGGGGTACAACAACATAGCAGTGATGAAAATAAATGTTTAAGGTAATTTTTTCTTATATTAACTGTACCACTTAAAGTCCCTAAATATTGCTTATTGGTTGTTTGCAGGTTTCTTGTGGAGGGATAAGAAACCTAGAATCAGTTTTAAAAAACGGAGTTGCAGATTTTTATACTTATTATCTGCCTTATAATGCTAGACTCCCTTTGTCATGGACTTATACATGTAAGAATGACAGTGACAGTTTTTGGATTAAGGAGAAGATCCTATCTGAGTATAGCAAGACTGTCCCTTTATCAGCATTATGGTTCCCCTCTAAAATGAAATTGGACAATCCTTTAATTCAGTTCTCCTGTGAGGTAGTTAAATCCTTACAGAAGCTTTCCGTCTTTGATTCGGCATCTTTATGAAACAACCCCTGATTAATTGCTGGGGGCAGAACACTGACAAATTATACATGGCAATGGGAGGTATAAAGGAATTGTAAAAGATTTGGATATGGTACCCTTTAATGAGCTGAAAAATATGTTTGCCTTGAGAGATGTTGAATTTGTATCATATTTAAAATGAGGAAGGAACACCACTGCACTTATTGTGGCATTGCCCTTCAATTAGGAGCTTCTTCTGCCTTCTTCTTGCTTGTCATTCATATTACAGACAGATATATGATGCTCGGTGGCTTCCATAAAGCCTTTTACACATTTTATATTCATATACAGTACAGTTCATGTTTACACACATCCAGTTACACTTGTGTGTGGACATAATTTCCCTTTGTTTATCTCCACAAGGGGGCAACACAGGCAGCACTTTCCTACGGGCTGTCTAGTGTGTTAAACAGTCAGTTTAATTCCACTTACTGTCTATTATTTGTTTGTGAGTAAAACTAAAACAGTTAAAAGGTTTTTTAAAAAAGTAGCTTACATTAAAGCTGAAAATACTTTTTCACACAAAAGCATATATACAAGGTGCTGAGACGTACATCAACTTCAGTGTTGTTGTTTGCTTCTTCAAGCCTCATCAAAGGATACTAAACGACAGCACCCACCCCAACCACAGCCTGTTCCCCCCGCTGCCATCTGGGAAGAGGTACAGATGCTTCCTGTGCCGTACCACCAGACTTAAACACAGCTTCTTCCTTCAGGCTGTGAGACTGATAGATTCTTCTTATAACATATTAATAAATTTTTATTTTGTTTTACGATTTGCATAAAGGGAACTCAATCATTGAATATGTTGGGTTTTATATTATTATGATCTACACAATCCTGATAAGTAAGAACAGATACAGTATTCAGTCTTTAGTGTTTGCAGTACTTTTGCAATGAAAACAAAGAACGTTAAAAAGACATAGGAACATTTTTAAAGTTGTTGATATTCAGGAAAGTTCCTACTGTTGACTTGTGTGAAAAAGCATAAAAGCTGAAATCAAAAGGAAGTACATGCACCAAAGATCATGCACGGGCAATAAAAAACATCACCCAAAGTCCAAGCAATAAACAAAAACTTACAAAAAAATATCTTTTAAAAATCTTTTCATATATATTTATATGTAAAAGCTTGAATTAGCTAATGAATAAAGAGACATATACACACACTTAAAAGAGTTTTACATTAGTGCTCTTTTAATTTTTTTAATTTTCCAGTTTCTTTGTCTTTACTGTGATAAATATTTTCATTGTGACCTATGAAACATCCGGTGCAACTTTTTGGTGAGATAGAACTCTTTACCTTCCTGTCAGTGTTTAAGACTTAACGTTTCTCACACAAAGAGAAACAGAGGACTCAAACATGTTCGGGTCCAGAGTGAACTTGAAAGCCTTTCAGGTTCTGAAGGAAAGCTTGTAAAGAATTTTGTTCTATCTGCTGATAACAAATCCAACCTTTGTCACATGTCATCCCCTCTCTCTCCCCACTTTCCTCTCACTCTTCAGCTGTCTCTGTCAATTAAAGGCAATAAAAGCACTCGTCACAAAAAAGATTTACCAAGGAAAGAGGTTGGTAAAACTGAAAGCAAATTCTGACATTATTTAACAAAGCCAGGAACAACTAGTACATGATGAGATAAACAAATCTTGTGATCGTTGATGTCAGTAACATTTACACAAATGAATGAGAGAGAAAATGTGCCAGAAAGTACAAAACACACAAATAACAAATACAGTCAGGATGTTCTGTTCTCTATATTATATGTATATTTACTTTAACACAATGTTGATTTAATTTTTAAAAAAGTGATATTTGTAAGTTTGGTAAATCTAAATCATTTTGATTCCTGAGTTTTAACTGAGTGTTCTACATTGAGTCAGACTGACGTGTTAGCAGAACTTGTTCCAGTTTGTTGAAAAGTACAAATGTTGTAAAACTGGTTCAGTGTCAGTCAGCCTGTTGTTCACCTGAGGACAAAAAAAACCCTCTCCCTGTTTCATGTTTCTATTGTTTTAATGAGCGGTAGAAATTAAATTCTTCATTAAAGAAACAAAAATTATGTTTAGATGTTTTCCTTTTATTTTCGTTGGCCTATGCATGTATCATGAAAAAAGTTAAATATTTTCCCCTGAAAACATCCTGATACCATCTGCTGGTGACATATCACAATGACACATCAGCATTTCCTCCTCATAATTAAACCTGAGAGGTGAGTTGAACAGAGTGCAGACGCCATTATAGGGTGCGAGATCTCCGCTGGAAAACACACAATTGGAGTACTTTAAGCAGGCAAAGGAAGAAACAGTAACTCGGTGAGTCCTGCTTTTTAAAAAATATCTTCAATAACAAATGGCTGAGAGAGCTCTTTTTGAAAGTTACCTGAACTGCCATGTGTGTTCAGAGACTTTCAGAGATCCTGTGTCTCTGAGCTGCAACCACAACTTCTGTTCAAACTGCCTGAAAACATTCTGGGAACAAGCTAAAAACAAAAACTGTCCGATTTGTAAAAGAAAATCCTCAAAAGAATATCTATGGGTGACCCTTTCACTGAAGGAGCTGGCTGACTCATTTGCTGGGAGAAAGAAATATGGATCATCTGAGAAAGAAAAAGGAGAAAAGAAGGTGGAGGTGGTGTGTGATAAACATCAAGAAGAGCCTAAATTGTTCTGTAAGGATGAAGATAGAGCTGTGTGTACTGTCTGTGATTTTTCTCTCCATGACGGTCACAAGGTGGTTCCTATAGAACAAGCAGTCAGTGACCTGAAGGACCAGCTGGAATCTGTCTTAAAGTCTCTACAGGACAAGAGGGACAAATACAAACAAGTGGAGGAAACATACAATGAAGTGATTCAACACTCCAAGAAGCAGCTGTTGTCCACAGAGAGGCAGATCAGAGCAGAGGTCAACAAGCTCCACCAGTTCCTGAAAGAGGAAGAGGAGTTGCAGATTGGCAGCTCTGAGGGAGGAAGAGGAGCAGAAGAGGAAGACTGTCAGCAGAGAGATGAAGAGGATTGAGGAGCAGATCTTCTCTCTGTCAGACAGTATTTCTGCTGTTAAAGAAGAGCTGCCATTCGTGCCATTCCAGTGCTCACTGTCAGACCCACAACTGGTCTCAGGAGCGCTGATAGATGTGGCCAAACACCTGGGCAACCTGTCCTTCGGAGTCTGGGAGAAGATGAAGGACAAGGTCCACTTCAGTCCTGTCATTCTGGACCCAAACACTGCACACCCTCGTCTCTATCTGTCTGGTGATCTGACCAGTGTGAGATATAGAGACACAAAGCAGCAGCTTCCTAACAATCCAGAAAGAAACACAAATTATCGCACTGTTCTGGGCTCTGAGGGTTTCAGCTCAGGGAAACACAGCTGGGAGGTGGAGGTGGGAGATCATCCCACTGGATTATAGGTTCGGCTAAAGAGTCCGTTGATAGGAAGGGGGAACGGTATGCCGCACCAAAATCTGGAATCTGGTGTTTATTGCATGATGATGGAGAATACAGTGATGGTCCTGGTAAGACTGTCACAGTGAAGAAGAGACTCCAGAAGATCAGAGTCCAGCTGGACTATGACAGAGGAGAGGTGTCCTTCTACGACCCTGAACACATGACTCACATCTTCACTCACAGAGACAATTTCACTGAGAAACTCTTCCCATATTTCTGTGTTGGAGCAGCTGGTGATGCTAAAACTGCTGATATCAAAATCTGTCAAACTCATATTTCTCTGTGATATTCAGGGATGTTAGTTGTTGTTGTGGGTGGCGTGTGTGTTTGTGTGTGTGTGTGTGTGTGTGTGTTCAGCTGACATAAAGTTTAAAGTTACACTGAGAGTCCGATACAGTATAACTAAGAAGCATTGTTCATCAATGTCCTGATTTTTTGTTCTTCTTCACCATCTGCAGAATTGATCGGTGTCAAAAGTTGTTTGCTTACTGTTTTTACAGTCTGAAATTAATTATTCAAAGTGCTGTTCATGTAGGGTTCAATGTTAGTTTATAGCCAAAATTTAAAGGACGCATCTTGTTTTCAGTCAGTCAGTCACAATGTAGTGTGTATGGATGCTTGAATTATTTGTTCACTTGTGGCCTGTCATATTACTCTAAGGACACAAGAGATTTGATCATTATCTGATTTCGTTTTTAACTGTAGTTTTGCATAGCTCGGTTGTCATTTAGTATAAATTGTAATTTTCAGTTGAGAAACCAAAATTCAGTTTAATTTATCTTTTGTCTTTAGGTACACTATAATATACAGCTGGTGGATGGCTTAAAATGTGAAAGAGTAGTGTGTAGTAGAAAAGAGTAGACTTATTTATGTGTGTTCGAGCTTCGTGACTTCACTACAAAAATTCTCTTGAGAAATAAAATCCAACATTGAAAATAGCAGATGTCAACGACACTGATATGATGAATCTGTATGTAACATGGAGACTTCATTTTATGGTGGTTTTGGATGTTATTGGGTCTTTTGATGAGTTTTTTCAATTGGGATATGTAAACATACACATGTATCACTGTTATCACAATCAAAACAGTGTAGTCCAAATCAGTATCCATTTATATGTACTTTAGCCATAATTTGTGATTTCATTATTTTATTATTTAATATTGCATTTGCTTTTATTTAATCCAATTGTGCTCATGCTCCAATACTGAAGAAATAAAGGTTTTATTTTGGATGTGATGTAATGTACATGTCAGGGGGTTTTGGGGGTGCGTCATTGGAGCTACAGGCAGATACGTTTTATAGAAACACACAGTCAGGGTGATTTCCTACATAGCCAGAAACATAGTTATAGTGCCCTATATGGATTTAGACAATATAAATGATAGATTTTAAACAATGTTATAAAGAATAGACAAATACCTTTTGTATTGTACAAAGTAGGCCTAGTTAAGCAATGGCCTCAGAGAATGTGCATACCGAGTGTTTTTGAATTGTCACACCACTGCCTTGACTTACACTTTATTTACTTAGTTTAGTTACTTCACAGATTAAACACATAATGATCTTAGTACTTTTACTTTTGATATTTAAAGGCCATTATGTTTGTTCTTTTACCTTTACTGTTTCTTAAAATTTTGAATGCAGGACTTTTACTTGTAACATAGTAGTTTTATATTGTTGTATTGCTTTGATTTAAGTAAAGGATCTACATTTTTCCTGTATTGATTTTTTCTTCAATAAAACTTCAGGCAAATTTAAAAAATGTTTTCATTCACTCAATCCTGAGTTGTATGTTTGTAGAGGTGCTCTTATTCTGAAAACCCAAGCGGAAGTGTTATGTCTGCAGCCTCTGTGGCTCAGAGCGGTGAAGTAAACAAACGAGCTCAGGTATGATACTCGTGTTCAAACATTTTTACTGAAAATTAGATGTCTTTTATTCAGACAACTCATCTTTGACCTGCTCATTTTGAAGTCGTTGTCAGTTTAAGGAATAAGTTTGCTTATACGAATCTTACAGCAGGCATGCTAACAGCGAAGCTAACAGCTAATCAGTGTAGCGTTAGCTAGCTGAAGAACTAGCAAGAAATGGGACGCTACAGTGCTAACATTAAAATTACAACGCTTTAGCTCAGCTCCCTGTTTTCTACTGTAAGCATGAACAGTGATTTGAGGCAAACATGTAAGGTAACGTTAGTTAACATCTTGCAAATGTAAGAGTTCATTGGTCGCTTCACCCAAACTACTAAAACACATTTAACGTTAAATAACCCTAAAAAGTTCTTGTTGTTGACAAACTAGACCAAGCAGATAACTTTGTTTAAAGTGGGTACTTCTTCGTTGATCCCCTGAAAACTGCTCACAATGAGCTCTATAGCTCACTCAGTGACTGTAACATTGTTTCTGTAAAGACATTTTGCAGGTGTTTTTCCTTCTGATGTGAGCCTCATATGTTGAATTCAATGCACATCCATAGTAATGGTGTGGAGTAAGAAACTGTAGAGATGGGTATCTTATAATCTACAGGTAAAGTCTCCACAGGTAGGCACTACAAGTGGTAAATGAGGAAATATGTATTCATTCATTTGGTTGAGCAGACCCTGTAATAGCCAACTACTAAAACCAGTTTGATTTCCCCCTCCGCTCAAACTTTTATTTTACTTATTGGTACTTTGCTTGGAGGACTGTGCAGAATAACTAATAATAAATAATGTGAGAGAGTTTGACACTAGAAGGTTGTTTTCACATTCATCTGGTAAATGATAAATAGACTTGGACCTGTACTTGTATATAGCGCCTTTCTAGTCTTCCAACCACTCAAAGCGATTTTACACTACATGCCACATTTGCCCTTTCACACACATTCACACTGTGATGGCAAAGTCCAATAAACAGAAACTAACCCATTCATTCACATTCACACACCGATGACACAGCATCGGGAGCAATTCGGGGTTCAGTATCTTGACAGGGATCGAACCATCAACCTTCCGATTAGTGGACGACCCACTCTACCTCTGTGCCTACCTCTTGTCAATTATTTCTTTGTTGTGTCATCACTGTGTTCAGTATTGTTTACTGAACCACACACTCTCACCTCTTTTCTGCCAGACCCTGCCTCCAACGAAATAAAAGAGTCTCCAAACAACCAGGTCTGGTGGTTATGGAGAATTATGGACAACCTGGCAGCAAATAAGAGCCACATACCCTGTCAGTCGTGGGCGGGCCAGAATGGCTGGTCCACAACTTCAATGCAAGGATCCCTCTTCAACCCGCTGGCCAGCTCTCAGCATCTCAGCCTGGGCTCGTCTTCTGACCAAAGACCCTCCTACAACCACCTGCAGGCGCCCAATCTGAGCTGTATGAACGACATGAGCACCTTATCATCCGCTCATCACTCTGCCCTGTACAAAGCCTCTCACATTAACAACAATTCGTCATCCACTACGCTGTTTGCAAACACTGCTATCCCGAGTTCTTCTCACAGTATTTCCTTTGCTCAGCAAAGCCCTCACACCTCATCAATGCTGTTAAATGCAAACCAAGGCATAAACATTCCCCAAACAAACCAAGCTCCACAGCCTTGTAGGCCCCAACATCTACCACTCCTGCCACCCCATGACCCTTACAAAGCATCAGTTCAACCTCCATTAACCAATCAGGGTTTATCAAACGGACTACAAGATCTTCCCATTAGTCTGCCGTCCTGTGGACAACGTGTAAGTACATCTCAAGCTACTTTTGAAGGAGCGAATGTGGAGTTTATTGGTGTTTGTGGATACACTCACAGCCATGCTTCATCCACTTCTCAGGAGCAGCATCAGTGGATACCTTCATCACACTGCAGGGGTAAGCTGCTCTTTGTTCCTTTGTGGTAATTTATGTAAACAACGGTGTGTTCAGTACATAAGCTGGTTGGTCCCTTATCCTGGATGTCCAAATCTTACTTACATCAATAGAAGCATCGTACTGGACAGTGCAATACCTTTTAAACTCTTCATAATTCAAAAATCACACCACAGATTACTCTCTTGTTCAAACAAGTGGTGAAGTTCAGATTATAGTACTGTTGGATTTTGTCTCCAATTTCCTTCCACATTGTCTAACTTACTTGTCTTTTCTTCAGAAGCTGTAAACGACTCTGATGCAACTGCTCATCCTAACAAAGAGTCATCGCAAGAGGGAAACATTAATCCACTGGTGAGGAAATTAACAGCAACAAAATGTATTACAGCAGGAAGTTTTGTTATTTGGTGGTTATTTTTAAACATTATGTTCACAAATAAAACAAAGGTGTTTGATGACATCTGTTTGTGCTTACAGAGGTTGATTGTGCACATTTTAAGTCACTTTGAATAGTAGCATCTACCGAATGAATGTTCCCACTTGCTACCATCATGTGGACATTTCCAGTAGAGTTACAGAGCTGTGGAGTTTCATAGTAGATCTTTACCTTTTTAATTTTTTTAATTCATATCTTCTTTCAGGCCAGCAGTGAGAGACAGCGTTCACTACTTTTACATCAACGTGCACAACTACTGCAACAGCTGGCAGAGCTGGATAAACATGTAAGTGGGTTAAGGCATGCTTTTGTACTTGCAGGAGGGTATTATTTCTTTAGATAGTTGTTTCTCATTATTACTTTATAATTAATGATTTTAATTATAAATCTCTATTATAGAGATTATTAGAGATAATTCTGCACAGCTACTCCCTGTTGACTTCACTTTGTCCCCTCATTCAGCTGGAATCAATACCTCCAGATGACAGTAGTAATGGGCGGCCTCCACACACAGCTGTTCAGGTAAGTTACAATTTTTGAGACGCTAGAGTTTGATCTGAAGTACAACTATTATTATCTAAATTACATGCAAAACACGGTACTGTTGTTTTCTTCACTTTAATGACCGCTCGTTTCATTTTTCTCGACTTTGTTTTGTTTTTCAGCCACAGTTGCGTCCTGCAGTGGGTTGTGGTGACAAAGATGAGACCTGTGACGCACCAGATGATCCAATGTCTACAGCTGAATCAGTGGTAGTTACCTGTATTTTTGTCTGTTTGTTTGTTTGTTTAGTAATTAAGATTTTTTTATTTATTTTTTTATTTCCTAGGTAGGTCACTCTTGCTCCACACTGCGTCACTACAGTTGCTGTTATAACATAATAAAAATAGTAGAATTACATTTGCTACGATCACAGATTGTTATTGGCTAATTGATTTCCACATACAACTGTTTTTCCTTCTTTTGTTTCAGAAAAAGAAAGAAAAAAGAAAGAAAAGAAAAAATTCCTCAGCCGAGTCAGAGGTCGACAGTGATCCTGATTACCTTCCTAATAATAATGATGATGAGCACTCTGATTACCCATCTGATCCTGCCGGTGGCTTTTCAGATGACTCTGATCACAGCAGGCCCTCAACCCCCACTGATGAAACGCCTTCTCTGCCAGGGAAAAAAAGGGCTAAATCAGGGAGTTCTTCGTGTGAAGCCGAAAGCGCCAGTCCTCCGAAACCGACACAAGCAAATAAGCAGAAGAAGTCAGAAACTGTAGTGCTGCCGACTTCAAATACCAAAATAAAACGCGTTTATGACAGGAGGAATTACTGCCCATTTTGTTCTAAGCCAATATCCAAAATGGCACGACATCTGGAGTCGATCCACAGCGACAAAAAAGAGGTTGCAGCCGCTTTTCAGTATCCCAAAAGTTCCAGAGAAAGACAAAAAATATGGAACAGACTAATAAATCAAGGAAACTTTGCTCATAATAAAAATGTCTTGAAATCCGGGAAGGGCCAACTTGCTGTACGAAAAAGACCAAAGCACACTGGACAAGCCCAAGACTTTATTCACTGCCTTTACTGTCGAGGCCTTTATGTGAAGAATGCTTTGTACAGACACATGAGGCTGTGCCCAGAGAAAGCGAGGAATGGAAATGAATCAAAGATCGGAAGACCACGTATCGCATTGCGATGTGTGCTTGAAACTTCAGACGACCTTGACGTAACTGACGGTTTTAGGAGCGTTCTGGCCCAGATGACCTACAACGATGTCACACGAGCTGTCATGGATGACAAGGTTATCTTGCAGTTTGGTGAACTCTTGTATAATCAGCACGGATCTGATGTGAGGAAGCACGACTACATAAGACAAAACCTTCGTCAGATGGCGAGACTTGTACTCGAAGCCCAGAAAGTAACTCCTCTGACGAAACTGGAGGACTTCTTTCTCCCTTCAAACTTCTCACATGTGGTGGCTGCAGTGAACGTCCTGGCAGGTTACAATCCAGAAACCAAATCGTACAGCATTCCTTCCCTTGCCATCAAGCTTGGCTACCACCTACAGAAGACTTGTAGCATTGTTGAGGGTAACGCAGTTAAGTCCGGGGATGCACGTTTGGCAGAGGCTGCACGAAACTTTCTCTCTGTGTATCAGAAAAAATGGAACAAGTTGATTTCTTCGGGTGCATTAACGACACTCAGAAAGACTAAAATAAAAAAGGAGAAGAAGGTGCCGTTTGCTGAAGATGTAAAGCGCCTGAACTTCTACATGGAGTACATTCATCCTCTCACTGAGGAAAAACTCAGAGACAGTCCCTCTTCAGAAAACTATGCCGCTCTGGCCAAGGTATTACTGGCTCGAACGATCATCTTCAACAGGAGAAGTGCCAGAGAGGTATCGTCGGTGCATCTAACAGCTTTTATGTCACGGATAAAGTCAAGCGTGCAGACTGGCATGGACATATCCGTGTCAGATTTGGAAAGAAGGATGTGTGGGTCCTTCACCAGAGTGGACATACGAGGAAAGTGTGGGAGAATGGTCCCTGTTTTACTAAAACCATCATTCGTGTCTTCTTTGGAGTTTCTCGTAGAAGTCCGCGAGACGTGTGGAGTCCCCAGTAAGAATCCCTACCTGTTCGGTCGACCAAGCTCGCTCTCTTCCTACAATGGGTCAGAGTCCCTCCAGAAATACGTCAAAGCATGTGGAGCTAAGAACCCTGAAGCGCTGACTTCACCAAAGATCAGGAAGCATTACACAACAATGCTACAGATGATGAACCTGGATGAAAATGAGGCTTGCCAAATTTTAGGCCCAAATAATCAAGTCCGAAGGCTGCGACAGGACAGCAGCATGCACCTGGATGACACCGAAATGGGGTCTGATGGTAAGACATTTGAGGATTAATTGTAAATGGCAGAGTAAAGTTTTACATAGTTTTACATAGGATTAGATAGATGATTTAGAAAAGGGGTCAGTCTGTGATGAAGTGTGGTGTGAAGACCCTTGCGTTACCTGCGTATGAGTCACAGAAGAAAATGATTGTACTTGTGACCCGGACATTACCTGTAATATAGTTAGGTGTTTAATTGCTGATTTGCTCATGTCCAAACTTCTGCACACTGATCCAGGGACAGCGCCTATCACCATCTTAGGAACAGTTAGACACTTTGTCCCACTGATTTGAGAATATCATAAAAAGCAGGAGACACAGGACTTGTTATTGTGATCTTATGTTGAAAGCATTGTCTATAACCTCATAAACAGCTTTCTAAATCACCCAGTGCAATCTACAGTTATATACTATAGTTAAGAGCAACCACTTTCATTCAAAATGAACTTTAAATCATACATGCAGGAACCTGGACTATAGCTAAAGCTCAGTTTGGTAACTTTTTTTCTTGGTGTGTTCAATAGATTGTGTTAAATTACCTCTATTGAATAACTGAGTTTTATTTGATATTGTAAGGCAACTGGGTAGATATCCATACTGAGAGGGTGACTAGTATCTTAGAAGGCCACTGAATGAATAATTGAATGGAGAGTGTCATTCATACATATACATGGCCGGTGTAACAGTGGCCCATGGTTACCACCAAATGGCCCTTGGGGCCTAAACTTGTCTGGGGGGGTTGCACTGTGGCTGTTTTACTTCTCTAGCTTTTCTGCAGTTATGTAGGTGTTTAAATGTGTATATGGGTAGGTGGGATATGTAAAATAAGTCTCTTTTTGTCTTCCATACAGAGAGATTACAAACTGCATCAGGACAACTAGCTGCATCATGGGATTACAGTGAGCATCCCAGTGCACGCTATGGCGCCAACATGACTGTACCTTCAACATCTAGAAAATCAGGCAAAAAAGGTAATAGTGAACATTGATAGTTATTCTGTCCATTTTGGGGGCCACTTTGAGATTTTCTTTAATAAAAAAAAAAAAGCCTTCACAGACATTCATACAAACCTATGTTAGATAAACAATAGAAGACTTCAAATGAAGACTCATTGAGAAGGCTGGCTAAGGGATAAAGAAATACAGTAACAGTGTTGCAGTATTCAGGGAGAGACACCTGGAGTCACTGCAGCCACCAGTTGTCAAAGCTGTCAGTAGTAAAATATTCCTTTTTGCCAGGATGTTTATTTATTTTAATGTATTTTTAACACAACAGGTGTTACATCTGTAATGATTTCAAGTATTGTTTTTAAAATTAGCTAATTAATTTGTTAATGTGTATGGTAATCCAAGTCTACATAATGGGGGACATTTGAATTCTAAACACTGATGCCCCAGCCCTGAGCTTTAACACATGGGCCACACATTGCAGAATCATTCCCGGTAATTTAAGTGCAGTTGAGGTAAAGAGTTATTCATTGTCCACCTCACTTGGCAAGCTTCATTTCATGTCAAAACATAATAATGACAAAAAAGGACAGTTGGTTAAGATAGATAGGATTTGATGAATCGAGAGTTTTTAAAATGATGATACAAGTTCACTCTTTTTCCCTTTTACCCCACAGGCGCCCAAAATCAGGGCAAACATAAATGGGACGAAGAAGAGGTTCTTGCTGTGGAAAGACACCTGATGAGTTTAATTGAGGGACACAAGGTGCCCCAGAAAAACGACTGCATTCAGTGTCTCGAGGCTGAGCCAGAAGCACTGAGGAACCGTTCATGGAAAGGTGTAAAGGACTACGTCAGAAACAGGATCACTGCCCTGAAAAGACAAAGCACAACTTCCCACAAAGAGTAACAGTTGCCCTGGGCACTGGACATGTTCAGCAGTTTTAGATGTGCAAGTTTTACTTTTCCATTATATCGTCCTTCACCACCCCCTGTTTATCTTTGCCTTTCATTTGTTCAGGATCCATCCGTTTCTTTTACAACATTGTAAGTGTTTCCATTCAGTAAGATGGCAGAGAATAGACTGATATTTGATCATGTTTATGTTGGTGCTGTGTGGTTTGCAGTCGTTGTCATTAATCATTTTAACTTTTGTATGATTACAGCATATTTTTCACTGTTCAGAGACAGCTCATACATACTGACGGATTATGTGTTATACAGACTTATCTGACGGTTAATTCTTAAGTTTTTGGAGCTGTAAGTTAATTTCTGTGATTAATTCATTTGGTATACTGTATTTTGTTTGACTTTGTCAACAATTTACCCCAAATAAAGGTGCCAAGAATAATATTCTAGCAATTTATCTGTGAACAAAAATATTGGTTGCTTGTATTCCATTCAGGAAATTGTTAACATGTATTTCAGAGATTTGTGCCCCCTGTCAGGCCTCATCTCTTGCATGTATGTATGTAAGAAAAACCCAAAGGCAGTGGTGGAAGAAGTATTCAGATATTTTACATGGTAGCAGTAGCAGCAAAGTCACACATTCAAAAGTCATATTGATGTCAAAATACAAAAGTATTAGCGAGACAATGTACTTTATCTATCAAAAGTATTCACAAGGCAGCAGAATTGCCCTGTGTTATACTGCCATATTCAGTATTTTCATTACTAATAGCATGTATGCAGCATTTTAATGTTGAACTGAGACCGTTAAAGTTAATTTTTATTAATTTGTTCAAATTTAATTTACATATAGTAAATATTGAGGAAAGTATAAAGTAATTCAATCAACTCAAATCAAGTACAATTTTGAGTTATTGTATTAACGTAACAGTTATAGTTTGTTTTCTTTTTACAAAGAAGTTTTAAAAAAAATAAGCATATAAAATGACATAAGGATAAGGCTAATTTTTATAAATGTACTATATATAAATTAAATTTAAACAAATGAGTAGAAATGTACTTGGGTAAATATTCTTTACCACCACTGCATGAAGACAACAATTGAACTGTGGTGTACCTAAGTCTCAGTATAATGTATTTACTGCTCTGATAGTTTGTAGCTTTTTAATTAGTTTTTTTAATTCTCTATTTCTTGTATCCAAGTGTCGCGGGATTTTACTTTGAAAAATCAAGCGGAAATGCGTTACAGTGACAGTTGCTAGCTTGAGGCTAACTGCTTCAAAGGCTCAGGAGTCAGTGAGGTTCATGGATGTTACCGGTCGTGTTGTGGTCTAAAATCATAAAGTTAATCATGTAACAGTTTATTATCTTTCAATGGTGTGTTATTATAACGCAAAGACGAGCCAATAATTAATTTTAGTCTGTCTGAAGTGTTTGTCGCAGAGGGGAAATGTTGACGGTAACGTTAGTAACGTTGAACAAGTGCGGCCGCACGCAAAGCGCCACTTTCCGTTGATGTCCAAAGGTATCGACTCTAATCTTTTATTGCTTAAAATAACATTGTTCCTTCAGATTCAGCTTTTAATATCACCCTGGTCGTTTATGTGGAGAAGCTGGCAGCACCATGTCCATGTCGAGCCCGTTCATGTCTGTGGTTGCTCGCTAACAGTATTGACCTAACGTTAGCCAACGTTAACTAACGTTACAGAATACTAACGTTACAGAATACTAACGTTACAGTAACGGCGAACAATTCAAATAAACTAACGTTAGTTAACGTTAGTTAACGTTAATTAGCGTTAATTGTCATTTTCCGACGTTTTGTTCTCATAGTCATGCGTTTAGTCATTGTAAGGTTATTTAACCTGCTGGTGGGATGACAGTCATAGTCACAAGACGTTTTTAAAGATGAGTAATCAAACAAAAAAAGCTAATTTGTGTAGTTATGTGTTGCAGGTAGGCTTAATCTATCTGCAGTAACCGGCAGTAAGATGTATTCGGCCTGTCTCAGATGATAACTGAGAATCACATCACGACCCTCAGCATCAGTTCTGCATGTTTATGTTGCCTCGCTAGGTCCCGCCTCCAAGGAGAAACACACCTATCAGTGATGGTTATGGAGGATGATGGACGTCCCGACAGCCAATCAGAGCCAGACACCCTGTCAGCCGTGGGCAGGACAGAACGGCTGGTCCCCAGCTTCACCTCAAGGACCCCCCTGCAACCCTCTGCCCAGCTTCCAGCATCTCAGCCTGGGCTCGCCATCTGAACAGAGACCCTGCTATGACCACCTGCAGGCATCCAACCAGGGCTGCCAGAGCGACCTCACCGCCTTTTCATCCACAAACGACGCTCATCACAGCACACTATATGCTAATAATGCTAATCAGGGTGTGCAGCGAATCGTTCCTGATGCATCCATGGCTCCAGCTGCAAGCCAAGGAAGAAATATACCTCCATGTTCTCTCCCGCTTATTAATCAAGGGACACAGCCTTACAAGCCACTGCAAATGCCATTTTACTCCCCTTACAGCCCATACCAAGCAACGTCTTCCCCTTTCCAGCCCCCACACGCACACCAGGGTTTACTGAATGGACTTCAGTCACCACATCAAAAACATCTGCCCATCAGCTCCCCATCATTTGGACAATGTGTAAACCAGAGTCCGCAGTGCACAGCCCAGTCTGCATTTGAGAGGGCCAATGTGGAGTCCCCTGGTGTATACGCCCACAATCCTGCCTCACCCACCTCTCCTGTCCAACAGCAGCCTCAGTGGACACCACACTGTAGAGGTAGGTTTATTTCTAAATGAGCATGACGTGCTTACATGCATGTTTCAGAGCCTCCTGTGGGAGCTGTCTATTTAAATTAAATGAACTACCAACATCACTGCAGACCATAAACAGTTTAATAGAGCACCACAGGTTATCTTTCAGGGTGTATACCACCACCATCCATCACTTCAGTATATAACACTGTCTGTCTGGATCTTTCCTCCATTGTCTCCCTCAGTGTGTAACTCTTCTGCTTCTCCTCAGGAACCATCAATGAGTTTGTTCCCAGTGCGGCTGCACAGGACACAAACAGTACGCCACAGGTGGGGAAAATATACTAACAGCATTAAAACTCTTTAATGTAGAGACGTAGAGATTTCTGACACGATATATCTGCAGATTATTTTCTCTATTAATTAAAAATGCATTTTCATTTCTGTTTTCATCCCTCAGAATGAAAAGATGTCTTTTTAGGCTCAAGATTAATAATCTGATTGAATATACAGTCTAGAAAAACAAAATGTTGTGTTTTATAATAATGTCAAGGTTTGAGAGTGAGTCATAAAATTCTTCTCTCTGCAGTCTCCTAACTCCGAGTCTCGTTACGGTCTGGACCCAGAGCTCCTGCCCAGTGCGGTCAGTTCTTTCATTCTCTCTCTTGTTTGTCTCTTAACATCTTTTCTTGACTGAATTGTGCAGCTGACTATGAAAGACTATTTACTGCCCGCCATGTTTCAGGTTTTTACCTTTAAGGATTAAACACATGAAGCTTTGCATCATACGCCTCTGATGTGTGTTGCCTTGTACAGTATGTCTTTAAGAAAACTACCAAATGTCTGATATACTGTGTTTCTTTGGCAATGAGCTCATTCCAAGACTGTTTGGTTACATATGTGCTTATTAGTGATTTCATACATGTTTTATACATTGGATGTAACTATTGTATGAATATAGATATTTTATTAGAGATCCTATCCTATTTGGATATAGTGTAGTGTTTCCATAGTCTTCCTGATTGATAAGGTTACACCTGTGTCTCTCTATCTGTCTCAGGTGAAGGTGATTGCAGAGGACAAGGCAGAGTGGGAGGGCAAGGTCTTCGTCTCAGAGCCTTTTTCCCGTCTTCCTCCGCTGGCAACTACTACCTGTATCATAGAGGACAGGGGTAAATGCACTCAACATCAGATAGCATACTTCCCACTGCATCAACATGACTTACAGCATATGGTATGCCTGAAATTTAAGTAACTTTTTTTCCTTAAACAGTGAATGTTTTTGGTACTTTGACCAATGGTAAAATAAATCATTTTTATTTCTGAATTTTAAATATGATATGTTGATGTGTCAGTGTGTCCGTTTTTTCCTCCCTCCAACCCTTCTGGTCACTATATTGAGTTTCACAGTATTTCCATTCCCTTCATGTCGTTCCTGGCCTTGTCTGTGTTGAACTCTAGGTAATGCGAGTCCTTTCGCCATCCGCTCCACCTCGTACTGCGTGCCCTGTGAAGGTCAGACTGCCCTGTTGAGCCGTCTGCCGCTGGGAGCTCTGGTCAGCCCACTGGCAAAACAAAATGCTGGAGAGGTCAGTTTTATGGCTACTCTGCTTATTCTGTTATTTATTAGAAATAGATGTAAGCAATAGAAAAATAATGGCAGCAACAAAACACTTGAAGCCATTTTATAATGCTAAAGTTGTAACGTGAAGGTTTTTGTGGAAATATAAACAGGTGTATTTAATGTGTTAATGTGTGTGTGTTGCCTTTAGAACCCCCTGCCAGTGTGCAAAGAGCCAGAGTGTGTTATGGGTTGTGGTTGGTGCGGAGCATCCATGTGCCCGGCGATGGGCTGGCAGGACTGTGGTCAGAGGTTTTACTGCCCCTTCTGTGGTAAACTCAGCGAAGGTAAGATTTAACATTGATCATCTGCGCACATGCGTGATGTAGTTCGGGTTCAGTGTCTGTTTGACAGAAAAGACGCCACAAGTATGGTCTCTCTAATACCAAACTTTATTCATATTGCACATTTCATACAAAAAGACAAAAACAAAATAAAATTAAAATTGATGCTGCTTATTCTCTATTTATCAACTAATCCATTAACTGACTAGCAATTCAGCTCTAATCCACAGATATGAATATTCAAGAATCAATGTTGCTTACTTTGCACGCAGCAACAGTTTTTCTCTCCTCTCTTTTCTCTCAGTGCCGTGGCAACACTACCAGCCCACCAAAGGGGTGGAGGGGGTTCGGATGGATAATGACAAGAGGCCAGAACTCAGTATGGGATCATACGAGATACTTAATTCTCAGAAGGTTAGTTTCACCCTCTACAGTTGTTATATTGGTTTGCATGTTAGTTGTCGTTATTACCTGCTCTTGAATATGGGCTTTGTCAAACGTGTGTGTGTGTGTGTGTGGGGGGGGGGGGTGTGTGTTTGTGTGTGGGTGTGTGTGTGGTGGGAAGTAGCAGTCTGGATTCTGTGTGTCTAAGACATTAACTTCTTAATACAATAATGCTAAAGCCTCCAACAGAAATACTGTACTTTGGGTCATTAGGGGCTTATTTGATTAGTTTTTAATTGGAACACCCCCATTTGTAATGATTTCTGTTACCTAATTAACCTAACTGTTATATCTAACCGTTTGTGTGTGTAAACTGTTGTACTTTATTTCAGGGTGAGCCTGCTGCACTGCTTCTAGCCATAGATGTGTCTGCCTCAGCACTGAGAGGAGGACATTTGGAGTTTGCAGCGCAACAAATACTTACTCTGCTGACCTCTCTGAAGAGGTAAAGCACACTCCTACCTAATTATATATTCACACACACTCTTTTACTGCATGCTCAGTAATATCCCTATGAGGGTTTGGAAATACTGGCAAAACAGTGGCATTGATCTTGTTTCCAGCTAGCAAGTTTCATCTTATTCATGTAGGGAGGATGGGGAGTCCTCGTCAGACGTCCGAGTTGGTTTGATGACATATGACAGCAGGATTCACCTGTACGACCTCAGCCCCGCCCTGTCCCGCCCACACATGCTGGTCATCACAGAGACAGAAGAACTGCAGCTTCCTGTGAGGGAGGGGCTTCTGGTGTCCCTACAAGACTGTATAGACAGTATTGACAGGTAACAGACGTGTTGACTGACTTAATTTTGAAAGGTTCCACTTTATAACAACTGAGTCCAGAAGCTGGATGCGGACCGATCAGCAAAATATGGCCACTACCAGAAGATTTTGTCTATGCCCAGAAAGTAACTTTGGATTTCTTTGGTGATCATTATCTGCCTGTTGTCTGTGTGTGCAGTGTGTTGCAGCTTGTTCCTCAGTTTAGTTCAGAGTGTGATGACTCAAGCGGAGTTCCCATGGAGCTGCCTGTCAAAGCAGGGCTAGCTGTACTGCAGGTCAGTTATCACTGCACACACTTTACTGTTACGCTTTTCTTCAAAGTTTATTGAAAGTTTGTTATGTGTTTATTGTACAAGCTGTCAATGATCAGTGTCACTTTACCACATTAACTGCATCCTCTCTCAACAGCTGACAGTGTCATGATCTAATTTAAAGATTTGATTTTGTTTGTTTCTAGGCCCTAGGTTGTCCTGGCAAGCTGCTGATCTTCCATACTGCCCCTCTGATTGAGATGGGACACACAAACTCACCCTCAGGGTTCTTTGGCTCAAACAAACCAAAGGTACTTAAGTGGTTCTGCTCTGTAGCTGACCTTCCTGTACAGATGGGCATATGAAGAGAGTTGCATGGTTGCAATAATTCTCTCTCCTTTTGTTTTTCCCAGTCCATCTTTCAGCCGTCAGAGCAAGCTGTCTCATTGGCCAAGGAGTGCGTCAGTCAAGGCTGCGGCGTTCACCTGTTTGTCCTCTCCCAGCAAGACGTGGGCGGGGCTTGGCCAGGACACATTCCATATCTAACAGGTGGAGCTCTGCACACCTACAGCCACCTCCAGGTATATCAACAGCTCCTCCCATCATAGCACTGGAAATGGGGTAAAATTAACTACATAAAGAAGCAATCTAATTTTAGTAATTGATTAGCCATTGTGTTGAAAATGACATTTTGGGAAATTTAGAGGAGAAGATTTCTACCACTGTGATTTCTGTCTGCTAACTAAAATAAGTTAAAATACACAACTGACAGCTGTTTTTAGCTTTTAGCTTTGCAAAGAGTTGCCTTCCACAACTTGCTATAAAAACATCTAGCAAATTGTTGGTGATTAGCTTTCTGTTGATTTATGTTGCACTGAATATGGCTAATTATTCAGCTTCTATCAGCACTTTGTAGTGGCCAATAGAGCAACATGGAAGCAGTGTTTTTAACTGCATTGCTTTGCATACAGATGAGTTAGAGGTCCCAATGTAAACTGGTATTTTTTAAATTCCTACTACAGGGAGAATTGGACAGAGAGCGTTTCTGCACCGATCTAAAGACGACTGTAGAGACAGACACAGGCTACAAGGCTGAGCTCAGGATTTTTGTCAGCAAAGGTGAGATTCTTTTTATTTGTGTGAGTGTGTGATTATTCAGCCACTGCCTTTAACAAGTACGTGTGATTCCACTATTTGTACCTGTCTCACCAGATTTGCGTGTGTCCGGCTGTTACGGACTTTTCATCCCTGGGCCTAACCCTGGCAACGTCACTATGGCAACTCTTGATTGCTTTACAACCCTGGCTGTGGAGCTGGCACACACCAGAGCTCTGGATGAGACGAGAGGTGTCGCCGTACAGGTGGGTTCATTATCATTATCAGATCAGAAATAGGTTAAATTTAGAGACCTGGCCCTTTTATTGCCGTTTCTGTCATCCAAGCCCTTCTGTTAGCAGAGATTTAATTGAATCTGAATACATTTTATATATCATTTTATAATATTATATTATCAGTTCTTATATCAGTTGTTAATAAAACAGTAACTCAGTCCAGAGTAAATCTGTTGATTTTAGAAATACCCTATGATGCCACATTTGTAGCTTACCTACAGACTAAATGTTCCCTTAAACTTTTGTTTAACCATAATCCTCTCTCTCTTCCTGTTTGTCAGGTTGTATTATCTTACAGCACCCAGACAGGGGACAGGAGGACCAGGGTTCACACTCTGACCCTGCGATGCTCACGTCAACTGCAGGACACTTTCCGGCAGTACCAGGCCCAAACACTACTCACCTTCTACTGCAAAAAGAGTGAGAAGATCTTCTACTATAGATCAGTGCATCATGTAGATCTTCTTCTGTAAATGTTAATATAATATATATATATATATATATATATATATATATATATATATATATATATATATATAATATAATGTTAAAGAGTTCGGTCTAGACCTGCTCTATTTGAAAAGTGTCCTGAGATAACTTCTGTTATGAATTGGCGCTATACAAATAAAATTGAATTGAATTGAATTAAATAAAATGCAATTCTTATCAGCACCAGTTCAGTTGTAAATAGCTAAATAATTGTCAATTTGGGAAAAATAGCGTAAATGTTTTTAAATTAATAAACTCTTATGAGAAAGTAGGCAGTCCAATAATCTGCGCTGTACCCTCTGCAATACTGTCGGAGATCATTATCTTATACAGTACAGTGAAATAACTGATAATATTAGTGCGTAGTATCAGGATATAAAAGTATAAATAACGTTGAATGCAGTGTATGTAAAATGCCTTCTTAGTTATGGTATCATTTGTTCTCAAAAAAGTGGGGGGGAAATATATTTTTAAGTGTCACATAAGACAACATAAAGTTGTGTTTTGGTGTTTCTGTGTAGTTTACTGTGCAGTGTTGGAGCGCCCTCTACAGGAGCTGAGGGAGGAACTGCAGACGGAGGTAACAGAAGCACTGGCATCCTACCGCAAACACTGCTGCTCTGCCTCAGTGTCTGCTGGTCAGGTGAGGTTTGGAAACATGAAATATACTCATAACTATAAATGCTGATTCAGTTATTGTAGAGAAAAAACAGAATGAGTAGTCTTTATGTTAGTCTTTTATTTATGATTTTGTCTTTGCAGGGCTAGACCTCTACCTTTTTTTTACTTAACCTACCACCATCAGGTGGCATCATCCTTCTCTTTTTATTAACTACTGTACCGCACTGTACTCTGTGTGTGTGTCCTGTAGCTGGTCCTCCCTCAGTACCTGCGAGCTCTTCCTGTTTACATCAACAGTCTGAGAAAGAGCGAGGTGCTGCTGCCGGGCCTCAGGAGCTCCATCCACCAGCGGCTGCAGCAGCGCTGCCAGGTGCTCAGGATGGACACCCGCAGCACCTCCACACACTTCTACCCTCTGCTGCTGCCTCTGGTCAGTACCATCAACACGTGGGAGTTTGTCTTGATCAGAGTGAGGCTGAAGTTATGCACCAGAGGACAGAATATTCAATACTAACCAAAAATACTAACTCTGGCAGTCAAAAACCCACGCACAAACCCTTTTATCACAACTGCTGTTTGGGAGGTATCAATAAATAAAACTTAGCTTTAGCTGACTGTCACCTACTGTCACTTAACATGAAATAACTTCTAAAAAGTGGCAATAATTCTTTGTGGTCATAAGTCAAATGGTTCTGAAGAGTAGCAGCAGGTTTATATGAGAGATGCACTGGGTTGATACTTGTGGTGTGTGTTGTTGCTTTTTGTTTAAGGTCCAGTGTGTGGGACTTAGAGGCATCTAGCGGTGTAAGTGCAGATCTTAACTCCCGCACTTTACCCTCCCCTTCCAAGTGTGAAGGAGAAACTACGGTGGCTGCGGCCTTGTCTCGAGCCAGTGTTTGGTTTGTCCTTTCTGGGCTACTGTAGAAACATGCTGGTTCAACATGGCATTCACAGGCTGATGTTAGAGCACCCGCTTTAATGGCAAAACAAAGTTTCTCAAGCACTGCTTTAGTGTAGACCTGTATTTATACTAACCAAACTTTGAACACTCGGTAAGGGGTGACTGTCACTTCATTAACAGAGCAGTCCCTGCATTATAGTTGTTCTTGTCTTTGTGGTTTTGGTACTTATCAGCACATTTTTATCTCCTTTTTCACCTGCAGGCGCTGTCAGTTGACAGCTCCAGCTCTCCAAACCTAGAGGAGGCACTGCGCTGCTGTGCCGCCAGCCTGGAGCCTAGAGGTCTATATTTGGTTCATGCACCCCTCACCTTGCTGCTCTGGGTGGGTGCCCAAGTTGCAGCATGCACCCTGGTCGAGCTCTTCAACACCAGCTGTTTCTCCTCACTGCCCTCTGGAGAGGTAAGAGGTTCAAAGGATACAGTAGTGCTGCATCTACAACAAAAGATGTATCCTTGTTACAGTGAGTATATCCAGCAAATTAAAACAGTTCTAATTATTTAGAATGGTTTAGAATTTGTTTTATAAGACTTTTCATTCACAATGCATGTAAAAATGAAATATCTTCTAACTGGCCACATCCCCTTGTAAATGTTTAATTTGAAAAAAATAAAAGAAGAATAATAAGCACATACAGCTATAAACAGTATTTTATAAAGTGTGTATGTAATTTTAAGAGAAACTTATTGAGAAGAGAGAAACAGGGAGTTGGGAATGATGAATAAAAAGATCTAGTTTAATATAAAGAAGACTCATAATATCATTTTTATGACACTGATTTTACCCAACGGGCTCTAAGGACACCCTGTTTACTGTCTGTTTCTGATGCTTTTGTGTTCCTTCAGACCAAGCTACCAGTTCTTGAAAACCCCCTGTCCATCAGTGTTCGATCCCTCATCAACTCACTGAACGCCGAGGCACCTTGTGCCCGCAAGGTGAGCCGCTGCTGAGTGTCCTGCTGTAGCTGCAGCGAAGATTTTATATTTCCGCCTCATGAGTCAGCCAACCTTTGTGGCCTTACTGTATATTACACAGTCGCTGTCTCAGTACGTGAGGTTGATTAATATCTCCTCTGTATCCACTTCTCCTTTATGTCGTGTCAGATTTATTGTAAATTTGAGTTGCCTCCTGAGGAAACCAACAATGCAAAATATAATATTGACTCCATGCACCTAGAGTTCATTCCAAGCTGATCATTGGATTTGTTTCCCACAGCTGTCCGGTGGTGATGAGATAAATACAGCAGACCTACAATTGTTTAGAATTGGCTACGCTAAGTAATTATAGTATAATAGTAATTTTGCTTTGTCAGCTAGTTATCAGAATATCAATAATCTCTGACCTGTTGTTACAGCATTATTCTTTCCTTGTTTTAACCTGTCAAAATGTATCATTTCATTTATGTAGAAGGTAATTCAGACAATCCTGAAAGAGCTGTAATATTTAAATTCAGGGAACCAAAAGTGGGATGTTGATTGATGCCACTGATGAGACTGTTTCTCTGTCTCAGCTGTGGGTGGTGAAGCAGGGCGACGCCTGCGAGGAGGCCCTGCAACGCCACCTGGTGGAGGATAAGAGTCCCAACGGAGGAGCGTCCTATGCAGACTTCCTCTACCATCTCCATGTCAACTCTGTCAGGCTTCTGCAGTGACTTAACACACACACACACACACACACACACACACACACACACACACACACACAATCATAATCATACATTTTCTGACCTCTCTGGGTGCATTATCGTCTATAAAAGATGTCACTGCAGTGTATTCGCCTCAAACAACTAGAAATTATTATGAGGAAATATGAAAGGCCTGTTGTCAGGCAGTGCATTGGGACATCTTACGAGACACATCATTTACTGATATGACTGTGACGTGTGTGTGTGTGCTGTGTTGAATGTGATCCATGCTGTTCTGAAAATGTGTTTATGATGTTAATTTATTCCTGTGTCCTGGCAGTTCTCTGATCCCTGCCTGAGTTGTGCGTGTGTGCGTGTGTGCGTGTGTGTGTGTGTGTGTGTGTGTGTGAGATGCCCACAGTATTTTCTGCGTGCATAATATTATGAATAAATAAAGCATTTAATTGAACCTTGATTAAAGTTTCTAAAGTTGTATCTTAGACGTCGTCCTGTCACATCTGATGAAGATGTGACTCAGGAATCCAAAAGGGCAACTGTCTAATGAGTCCAAGTGGATAATCAATGAACTAATAACATTGTAATTATGTTGCTGCAAGGGTGTGAAGCACTCAAGCATGTGGCTCTATCAGGGGAGGGGGGGTTTGGTGTCAGTGGTATTTTTTCACATTTGATTGCCCAAACCATCCAACAACACCACAAAGAGTCCACAGCCATGGCGTGAGGTTGTATTTAAACACAGTGGTGCTCTGAGCTGAATGCTAGCACGTATTAGTTTGGTGTATTGGCACTAGTACACAAAGTACTAGGGTTGTACTGTCAAGTCAGGTTTTTTTCAGATCCGAGTCCTTGAATACAGGGTATCTGCCTAAACTGGAGCCGATCCAATGCTTGTATTTACACAAATGTTCATTAAAGTCCCCAACCACTTAAAAATGTGTTGTTTTTTTTCTGTTGGATGTTTGAAGCCTCACTGTGCAGAATGATGTATGTGCAGAGTTTGACACTAGAAGGTTGTTTTCACATTCATCTGCTGAACGTTTCACTGTGCTCATTGAAAATCAGATTGTAATGGGGCGGGGCATGAGTTCTTATTTTTCACAAGCTACATTATTTGATCCAAATGCTGAAGGTCTTGATTCATAATGGCCCTGAAGAGATCTGCTAGAGAGGAGACGTATCACTCTGCGGGAGTTGTTGGGACTACCAGTCCACCTGCATTGTACAGTGGTGTTCTTTGAATATTTGCAGAGAGCAAACAAACCAGACAACAGCCAAGCGTAATTTGTTCTGCCATCAAGTTATTCGCAGAATTAACCTTTATTAGTGACAGTTAATGTGACCTGCTGCTGCTGTTTGTCATTTAAACCGGTGAAAGAAGCGGTCAGCACTGCCTGAAATGAGGAGCTGCTAGCTGAATGTGTTACACGCTGCTCTATGCTCACAAGAGAGTACAGATAACAGCTTTGTTACTGTCAGAGTTTAGCTGATCTGTGTATTTTGCCCACGCTGATGGAGAATATTGTCCATCACTGGTACCATCCAATAACTGGTCACATTCACATACTCTTCTCTGTCTTTCAGGAGTCAGAAGTGAAGTGTTGACCACATGATGGCACTAGAGAAGACACCAAACTTATTCTCTGCGGATCATGAGCATAACAACAATAGTTGTTGAGACATTTGACTCAAAACCACAAATGTGGGGATAGCTCACAGCGGCCATGTGTTTAAATCCAACCTGTGGCCCTTCCCCCCGTCTCTCTCCCACCTTTCAAACAAAAACACCCCAACAAATGTGAACCTCGTGGTGGCGATAGATTCAAAGTCAGAGAATCACCAGAGTCATTAGGGTTCATCCTGCGGGTACCATGAATGTCTGTACAATAAATGTTATTGATCGGTCCGATAGCTGTTAAAATAATTCAGTGTGGACCAAAGTGATGGACAGACTGACAGGCCGACATTGCCGTGCCTAGAGTCACACTGCCAGAATGGCTAAAGAACAAATTCCTGCAGGAAAAGATAATTAAGTTGATTAAATGTAACCATCTCTAATTGAATTACAGTTCGTCTCCTCTGAAGTCTGAGCTCACAGCCTGTATTTTTGGATTCAGTCATTTCTTCCCTTTCCATATTCGCAGTATTCATCTTCATCGTCATTGTGAAGAAAAAGACAAACAGAACATTCAAATTATTTGTCATTGTGTGTCTGTGTACTTGTTGTTGGCAGTGTGAATTTGTATCCTAAAGCATTTTGGATGCTGCCCAGTTAGATTCTGGTGGGATCACACTGACTGAGAGGACGTGGGCTGCTGGTTAAACTGCATGTCCGCTTTGTTTGACCCGTTCACTTAAAGCAAAGAGAAACACATTTTTCTTTTTTGTCTCGAAGAATTTAAAATACGGATGAAAGAGATCAAATGAATGATGAGAGAGCATGTCCCCTGTAACACTTCAGTACATTTGGGGAGACGATTACACACATTTTACACATGTTGGGTTGATTGAAGTATTTGAATAAAATAACAAATTAGACAAAAATATTATAAATTTAAATACAAGGAATTTATTAAACATTATAAACCCGTCAAAAAAAGTGAAAGATCTTTTGGTTCAAGGTCGGTGGCTTGTCCACATGTCTTAGGTTGGTGGGGTTCTGTTGGGGGAATAACATTTGGACTCTGAGTTTAGTATTTTTAATGGCACTAAGTTAATTACAAACAGCAAAAATAAATTTTGTATTGTGATTTTACACATTAAATATTGCAGTACACAGAATTTAATCAACCTGCATCTGCACATTTATCATGCAATGAAAGCCAGCTGCTTTGTATCTAATACCTGCAGTATGTCTCCACAGCCTAACACACCAGTCTGTTATTGCTGGGATGTCTGAATTATGTCTTTCTAAAAACTAAGTTCAGGGATAATATCAATCCTTCTGTATTGTTTTGTGGATTAAACCGTGCAACAGTTCACATCGTCCTGCTTGAATCCACACAAACGCACGCATTTACAACACATATGGCGGCACGTTTTGAAGGCACTAACCAGCTCTCTCATATTTGCCCCTATTTGGAAATACGCACCGTGCAGGCGGGAAGTGTGTTCGATTACGTTCCCGCGCTGTGCCGTTGCGGGCTGTGTCCACCAGAGGGCGGCAGAGAGCCACTCCTGCACCGCCGCTCAGTGGGACTCGGGACTGTGTCAAGTTAGTCTGACTCAGTACAAGAGCGGAAGTTATACCTTCAAAATAAACTGAAGAAAAATTCCAGATGATCCCAGTTAGAAAAGGCGGGTAAGCGTGACCTCCTCCAGTCAGTGATAATGGTAAAGCTAAATTAATAAACTCAAATAAATACATTAAAAATGTATATGCTTTGATGTTTCCCACATTTTATATGTACAATTGTAGACCCTATATCATTTTTTAGTCGTCCTTCTCCATATGAAGACTGTGCTGAGATAACTTTGGTGCATTGAACTGATTGAAAGATAAAGTTGTGTAGTTAGTAGGTTAGCAAGTGTTCTATCGCAGCATCTGTAGATAAAAACGTCTCTTTTTAAGGCAACGAAAACACAACAATTCCTATATTTAGGTGATTATACACCAATGAAAACATACCAATGAATATTATATCCTGTTGCCAATGTTACACACTGGACCTTTAATGGAGCATCTGCATTTATTACAATAGCATGGGCTAGTTGGCTAACTAGCTCAATGAAACAATAGGCTGTAGTTGGATCTGTCAGCACTGGTTACTCCAAACTAATATTTTTTTTAAATATTGTGCACACAAGGTAATAACACATCAACTATTAACACAACTTATTATTCTGCAGGGTCCTTTAGGGATTTACAATTAAATAAAATGATCAGAATCAATAGACAGCAGCCATTTTGACTAGTTGAGCTAAGAGTGTAAACACAGGTGTTACTAATGATACTAATTAAGGCTCTGTCAAACAGAGTCTATTGTGTATGTTGGCCATTGACAGTATATATAGATGTTGGCTCACTGGAAAGACTCTGCTACACTAAATGGACCTTAACCTTAATAAGTATAATTGTTAACACCCGTGATTACCCTGTTATGTCTTTTTTAATTAAGAGTTTATTCCACAAAATATGCGGACATTGCATTTATAAAAACGACGCGGTTTATTCAAGTTATAATAATCAACATTTGAATGTCGAAGCTGCGTTTTATTCTGGAAATCCCAACAGGAAGTCGCTCTCATGTGGTCAGACAGCTTGATTGAGGCTCGGTTGAGCAGAGCGCGGTAGCTGTCAGATAGTGGAGAGAGACCCAGAGAGTGAACACCCACCCTGGTCGCTTCGTCTGTCCGTATCAAACCCTCCTTCAACAAGGCACCTCACCGCTCCGACGGCCGTCTAGCTGCTGGGCGGACCTTTATTTTAAACGCACATTTAGCGCAAAATAACCGCATTTCCCCCCCGGAGCTGTCAAAGTAGCGAAGAAGCGAGAGACAGGAGAGCGACATGGCCACGACAACCTGTACGCGATTCACAGACGAATATCAGCTATACGAGGAGCTGGGGAAGTGAGTATCCGGAGGGGTTTAATGTGTTTGTGTCGGGGGGTATGTGTGCCTTGTTGTTCAGTGTATTGTGGATAAAAGGTTTCCAGGCAGGGCAGAGCAGAGCTGTATGTATGTACTTGTGTGTGTTTGTACGTGTGTGTGTGTGTGTGTGTGTATGTACGTGTGTGTGTGTGTGTGTGTGTGCGTGTGTGTGTGTGTGGTGCGCTTTTTCGGGATGACAGCTCTCAAAATACGCTGCTCTCTCTCTCTCTCTCTCTCTCTCTCTCTCTCTCTCTCTCTCTCTCTCTCTCAGTGCAAGTCAATGTCTCTCTCTAACAGATGCCCGCTCTTCTCGCAGTGTTTCTGAAGCTCCCCAAAAATCTGACATCCAACACACCAATGCAATGCAACGCTGACAGTATTGTCTGTTATATGATGTATTATGTTGTGTCTTTGTTTCACGTTGAGTTACGGAGGGACGTGGGGTGTATTGTGGTGCAACCATTTGAACCACAGATGAAAAGAAGGCAACTGCGGTTTATAAAGAAAAACTAGATTTTTTCCAAGTAGTTGCATGACCTTTATAGAGATGTGGTGAACACAGTTAATGTGCATGTGTATTTTATGGCTGGTTTCTGAGTGCTTTGACCAGATATCTTCTTGAAGAATTAATTAATGTCATCTGCAAAGCTATAAAACTGAGATCTGAACAAGTAAATACATTGTTGTGGTTTTAAAATTAAATTTACAGATTTACAAATTTTTTGATCTTTTTTTGTTGAAAACCTTATTAGCGTGTGTCCTGTTTTGTCTTTTTTATGGCATCCATTTAAAATTCTGAATAAACGCCATCTAGATGAACCCATATTTTGTATAAATACAAATAGTTTTACAGCTTTTTAACACATTATGAAGGAGTGACAGCTCTCTCTTCCTTGGGAGGCTTTTTTGCAGCATTGTGGTGGCAGATAACACAAGATAAGACATTGTGCAGTGGCACCAGGCGAAACAACTCCCATCCATCTTCGCTCATAAAGCTGTATTAATCATACATGCATGCATCTCTTTGTCTGAAAGAAAGAGGACAAAAAGAGTTCAGCAGTGCCATTTAAAAGTTAATGTTTGAGCTCCCCACACAACATATAGGTTAACTTCAGTATGATCATAAGAGATAAAAGTGAACATAATGCTCAGTACGGCCACTGAATTCACTACTGAGCATTGGAGATGAAGGTCAGGTCTTTATATTTCAGCATTATAGTTATCGTATCACTAGGATAGGGCGGAGGTGTGAGGGGAACGATAGAGAAATCACTCCTCATCAGGCGTCCGTTGTTTACATTGCTGCTGTTGGGTGTCATGCATCTCGCTGGTGTTGTTTGATTATCATGCATATCTCTCGTTATTTACTGATAGCTTTATTGGCCCAGTGCTGTTTATATGACAGCCAGCTACCACAACAAACAACAGTGTACAGTATGTGTCCTATTTATCTGTGGGTTTTGTAGAGTAAAGGTTGGACACTAAAGTCATGTAGAGAAATATAGGGAAATACTAATTTACCTACAGGAACTTTAACTATATAATACTCAATCGTGGGTGTCTTATATTTCTGAGTATAAACACACTAAAGAGTGGTTCTGAATAGATGCTAATTTGCTGTTTTTTTGTCTTGAAACTGGGTCACCATTTGAAAACATTGTACTGGTTTCAGCTGCTGTCTTTAGTGAAGTGCCGGATTAAAAACTTTCAGAGTTACCTCTCAAGCCTACGGGAGGTTTGACAGTCTGAACATATGTTAATGGTGGAGTATTCCTTTAACCAGACTCTGAAAAAAGGCTCTTGCTAGACTAATTTACAACACTGCATTCCCACCATGCTCGTTTCATCCCATAAGTAATAAATATTGTTAACACGGGACTCTTTGGTTGTCTGACTCCAATATATCCCCAACCCCAGTGAGACTTAATGCTCTGGTCCTGGCTCTTGATTAAAAAATACGTTGTGAAGAATGCAACTGATCAAATGTGTAGGCCTCGCTGTATTCAGATAAATCTTAAAGCGTCTGCAGAGTACTCTCCAGTCGAAAGCACTGGCTCTGAAGCTCTCTGTGTGATAGAGAGAGAGATTAATCTGTACACCCTGCACTGCAAAATATCTTTCATAGACCAATCCTATAATTCAACCAGTCACATAAAGCTCGGAGGAAAGAGCGCAGGTGTGAATGGCTTGGCGTCCTCATGATATCGCTCTCTGTAGCTTTGTAATATTAATCCAACATCTGAGGAGAGCTAATTGTCGTGCGCTCACTCTCTATTGGCTTCACTTTCTTTGCAGGGCTTGTGACATCTAGGCACCGTGCATTATGCTTTATGTTTAGTATGTTTAGCCCATTTATTACAAATCATGTCTGTCGTACTTTACTGCAAACACCACAGCATGCTTGTTAAGTACATATTGTTTGTATAGTAATTGGGTGGAAGTGTGCTAAAACACCGTCATGGTCCTTTAATATTACTGCAGTGTGTCACTGAAATGTTTCTGCCGTAGGGTTTCAATATTTTTTATAAAAGAATATATTTCCTTTGCCAGAGAATATGTTTGAATCTGGGATTTGGTGTGCTGCAGAATCATATATTAATTAGAAAATGTTTTTTTTTTCATATTATAAAGTGAATTAATCAAAAATATCAGTATCTTCTTATACTTCAGTGATGCAGGCAAAATGAGACGATCATACAAGCATCCTGCAAACCATGCATTTTCATTTCTAGGTACAATAATATGAACAGTCACAAAGCCTTGAATGTAGCTTCCTGTCACAGTTACTCATTGAGAAACAAAGGGCAACTCTCGAAAGCCTGTCCTTTTGTCACACGGCGGCTAAGAAGAAATCTATAACAGCAGCCAGAGCTCATAAAGAACACTTAATCTTTTTTTCTTTAGGTTTGTGATATCATCCTGTTTCGTCTCGGTAAGACTTGAAGCTTTTACAATTCCTGTAATTCTTCTACATCACATGCACCTTGTGAGACCATAACAGCACATCAGAGGCTCAGAGTAATCTGGTTACTAAACCCTTGACTGCAGAAGGCACCAATGTTTTTCAAAAATAATCTGAGGTCCATCCAGATCTCTCCATGTCCACTCTCTCTGCGTCAAACCAGACTTTGAAAAGCAATGATTCATGACCTGTTACCTTATTTAACTGTATGTGTGTTAAAGCATATTTAGCCTCGACCATAGATACTTCCCTCACGGAGTGTGAACTTTCCAGGCACAGCTGTGGAGTTTGGTGTCAGTAACATATGCGTTTGTTTGTGTGTGTGTGTGTGTGTGTGTGTGTGTGTGGCTCTTGTCGCCCATTCAGTTCTCTTACACAACTGTGTGTTAGAGAGTTTCTTGCTTTTGGGTCTTATCTTTTGCCACAGCACACATGTTCACTAAAGAAAAGCACTTTGTCAACATAGATTTTTTTAACTAGACTGTCCCAACCCTGAGACGGGGGCATTTCAAACTTGCTTCAGCTTGTTGTTGTTTAAATCAGGTGTTGAAACAGTATTGAAGTACTGCTGGGTTTTCTGTCTCCACATAGATATTTCCCCCAGTCTCTGCTCATAAGTCTCAGGTCAGCTGGTCCGACAACTTTCACCTTTAACCCTGACCTTGTTGGTTATCTGTAACTGCCTCGGTGTGGGGGCAGACCAGTGGCACCAGTCAACCCTTTCACTGTCAAAAGTGGCAGTAAGACTGTGGCAGATCTAAATAAAAAGGCTACGGCTGGAGAAGGCTGTGAAGCCAGTCCACTCCAGAGTGGAGAACTGTCTGCTGTCGGGTTTTATTAAGTGACTCATATTTGAAGCAGCTGATATTCAAGATGTTTAGTTTTATGGCCAAATACATCCAGATATTGAGTGTTTCCAGTCACAATTTTATATAAATGTTGGGTTATAGTTTTCAGATATTGTGAAAATTGGCTTTAGGAGCTCATACCAAAGTTTAGATGAAGTGGCTGTAAGACAACAGTGTTTGTGCATCATGACTTTTTATGTGTGGGGATCGTCATGAGAGCCTGTGAACCAGACAAATCCTGGCAATGTAACTTGTGAGCAAGTTAACCGATTAAGAACAATGCAATTAAAGCACAGAAATATTATATTAACTGGACCTCAAATATCAACCTGTTTTATGTTGGTGGCAGTTATCCACTGATAGTAATGCGACAAAGCTTAGTAAATGTTTTTTCTGTGTTTCTACAGGGGAGCCTTTTCAGTGGTGCGCAGATGTGTTAAGCTGTGTACAGGACAGGAGTATGCTGCCAAAATAATCAACACCAAAAAGTTATCTGCAAGAGGTAAGCACATCCATATTGCAGGATTTCTTCATCATAGCGCAACATGTATTGGAGCTGAGACCAATGGGCGGTTTGTAAAGTGCAAAACACAAAGAGTAGAGTTGAATTCCACTGTTATTTCACTTACTAAAAGCACAATGTGTAACCATACAAGAATGACTAATTTGTTCATAGTTTCTCCGTCCCAGTGGTCACCTCCCCACCTACAGTGTAGACAGTTATATAAGTGATATGCAACAGCAGTTACCCTCTCAGATGGTGCTGCGTAGGACATTTTATCACATTGGGGTCTGTGTTTGAGAAAAGGACAACGGAAAAGTTGCAGAAGCTTGTGACAGTAAAATACCAACACAACTACTGTAGTATTACACCCTGATGGGTCTGGTGAGGGTCCTACATCTTTTCTGCACACCGGGTTCACCTTCTACACGGCACTGATTCTGACTTATACCAATCATTCTTACTGATGGATTCAGTGGCTTCATTAGGGATGGGAATCGATAGTATTTTATTGATACCAGGACCATTATTGATTCTGATTATCGGTTCAGTTCTTTGTTGATTCCATTATTGATTCCTGATCAATTTTCTGCGTAGAAAAAAGTTTCAGCATCAGTCAACACAGTGTATAAAGAGTTATAGTGGACTCTGAGTTTCTTTGTGAAATGAAACCACGCCTTGGACTGTGTCTTCCTCTCTGCAGTGAGTCTTATCGCACGTTTGCAGCAATACAGACTCATGAGTTTGAAATCACTGTTTGGGAATGCCCAACTGTTTAAAAAACATCCTGGCACTGATGAAAACAATTGATAAGCTCAGTGGCATGTGATTCCGATGGATGAGAGAATTTGGTACCAGTTCTTAACAGGAAACGGTTCTTGATTCCTGTCCCTATGTGTCATGTACTCAAGGTTCTCATTTAAATGGGTTCTCAATGTATCCAGGGAATGTATGGGTGACACAGGGCTACAATTCCTATCCACCTTGGTCCAATTGTGTATTCTTGCCCTAACAACTTGGACTGGTTGGAGTTCCCGTACAGTGAAGAGTGGAACTGGTGGGGATAGCATAGGGCTTCTGCTTGGTATGTCCTTTCAGTTAAGCTCATGGCTGGCAGATGAAAAGAGGTGAATGGTGACTCCACGTGTCACAGAAGTAGTTTTGCATTATGTTTTGTGGAGCCATACAGAAAATGTTGCTGTGGCGTTATAATTGGACTTAATGTTAAGTCTGGTATAAACTAGGGCTAAACTAGTCTATGATTCTAATCAATGGTTGAGAAGACCTGGAGTCCACTCACATTATTTTTTTGCACTTTCTTTTCACATCATTGTTGCTTTTCCTTTGCCATTAAATTATCACTTAATGGAGAGAGGAATATTGTAAAAGCACCAAAGGCTCTTTGCTTTGAGTTCTTTAATATTACGGTAATGGCTTGTAAATTTGCTGATAGGAAGTTAAGCTCCTTCCACACTCATTTTAAATTAGGTTTATTATATAATAATGTAACTGCAGTAATGTTTTACTAATGTTTTACCAAATAAAAAAAGATCTTTTAAGCACCTTAATCAGTGTCACATACTGTGCAGCCAGTAACGGTTTAAGCCAAAGCCAAAGCTAAATGCCATGGCCATGAAGACCAATTCGGCAGCACAGTGGTCGCTGTGGCTCTTCACACCACCACTTGCCCAGTATAAATCTCCTGCTGCCCCTCCAGCTTCGTAACTGGAGCCCCACTGCCTAGGCCCTGCCAGGTGGCACCACACTGACATCTTGACTGTTACCCTGCCTACACACACACACACACACACACACACACAAATAGGCCCACTGCGTGTGTGTGAAAATGTTGAGTGTGGTTGAACAGGCATTTTAACAGGCATTAGCAGAGGGTATACATTAGGACTGCATGATTTTATGATGCTTTCTTTTGAAATAATTATCCAAAGTGTGTGCTCCTCTCCTTCACAGTGCAGACACATAGAAACAGTGTAGTGTTAATAAATAAATCAGATGAAGTTGTAATGCACTTTTGGGACTGTGTTTCAACATACAGTTTTAAGTTACAGCAGACATTAGACAAAAATAAATATGGCCACCTTCACTTCACAAAATGCTATTCTGAACTTTGAAGCAGCTATAATTGTTTTAATAACAACGTCTGAAATGACAACGTAAAAACAATGTCACAGTTAGAAAGGGGTTGCTTGTAGTAATGAACCTACAGTGAATTATCTACCAAATCTGCAGCTCCCCTTGGCTTTATGGAGCTTGTTATGGAGCGAGTTTCAGCTCATTGTTCAGTTGTCCAACCCAAAACTTTACTGTCTTGGTTCATTGGCACTACAAGCGTCATTTCCAGTCACAGTAGGCAGCTCTTTTAAGTGAAAAACCTCTAAAAACCGACTGTACATTACATGCTAAGCACCAAACAGCGACTAGCTGGGTGAACATAGTGGAGCATTTATCAGCTGAAGAGACAAATATTTTCCTGTTGGTAGAGAGTGGGTAGACACTACAAACAAAAGAGAGTGAATTGGGCTTATGTTTGGCTCGTTGCTAGAAGCATGAATCCAAATGAATGATAATGTTACAAAATAAAGTTCGCCATAGGTCATATGTCAATATGGATGTAACGATACACTTACGATTCAACACAATTCATAATACTGGGTTCATAATACGAAGTTCTAACGATTTTCTTTCATAATAAATGAACAAAATATATTTTCCTTATATTTTCTTCATCAAATTATAGAATCCTTTTTTATTTCTAAGGTAGAAAAAAACTGTGCAAAACAATGCATATTTCCTTTTCTTTGTAAAAGTGAAACTGAAGTCTTTACGCTTTCGTATCACGATTGGTATCATGATTCATTTTTCATCTCACAGATTTTAAACTTGATTAAATTGTATTTGTGTTGTGATTGAACTGTCTTGTGATTTAGTTTTTATATGTCAATGTTGTGTTCACAGCCTGTTTTCTGCTGCCACCAAGGGGCCAATAAGACAGTTATTGCAGGTTAAAATTGTTCTGATCTCCCAAATAACAAAAGAGTGAAAACAAAACTGATATCTTGTATCAGAATTGTACTTTATATCAAAAGGCTGTGTCCCATCATCCTTAGCAGCAGTTATGTCACTCTTGTGATATTTTCATTATATTTCATTGCAAGCAAGCAGCATTTAATGAGATTAAGCCCATCCTAGATTATCCTGATGCTATTAGCAGGGGGCCAACAGTTAATCCCAACAATTGGCTTGATGAGACCTTAAGCGCGTACACACACACACACACACTGTCATTAGACCTATACATTTCACTCTAGCTGCTTTATCAGGGATTGCAGCTGCTTTATGCACCATATTTCTAAGGCCCAGTATAATCTCCCATTTGATAGGAGGACTGATCTGACCTGACTGGGTGGTGCGCAAGGCTTGTTCTGCGCTCTTTACTGCACTCTTTACTAATAAATGAGCCATGTTCTATGAAACAGCAGAGCAATGTTGGAGGCGGCAGAGCCGCTGCATACTACTTCTACTCCAGGTCCTATTTATAGCTCCATGACCTATCTGACATGGGCTGCTACAGCCTGGTTTTATGGCAGTCGTGATGACTTGCTGCTTTACTTTAGAAGTGGGATTTGGTTCAAGTCGTTTTGTTGTTGTAATATCTCTCAGGCAGCAGGTAAGGTCGATGAGCCCTGGTTGCAGCAACTTAAAGAGGAGCGTTTGTTTAGGACTGACAGATGGAGATGGTAGCCGAGGGGAGGGAGGGGTCATGCGAGAGAAGGCACCCCAGGCACTTGGCAGCTGAGGGCCATGCGCCTGTACGCCTACATGCCTTTAGCACGGGACTCTCATCTGACTCTCCCTCTCGGTCTCCCTGACACACACACACACACACACACACACAGTTCAATGCACAGTGAACTATCAATAATCAGCTACAACAAGAAAAGACTAAAGATTTCTTGTTCATAGTAGTCTAAATACTTGAAGCCATGATGATTCACTGACTCAAAAGTCAGGAATACCGTTCAGCTATGATATTAAACGCAAGCATTTATAAATAATCATCATTGTGGCCTAGATGTGTGTGTGAAAGTAAGTAAGGGTTAGATACAATGAGGTAAAAAAAACGCATATAATGTTACATACCGATACACACAGCCAGGCCTCTCCTCTGTGTGTAACATCTTCCAACCCACCACCCCACCCCTAACCTCCTTGCAGACACAAAGCGGTTAATGCCAATCCAACACATGTCAACACACGAAATGTAGGACAGGTCTGTTGGGCAAGGCCTCCAGCCAATCATAGAGCTTGTTTATTGGCAGTGATCTCTGGACAGGGGTTGCCAGAGGTTGCTGTATGGCCTTGTAATTTATCGTGATACAGAGTAGTTGTGCTTGTGTGTGTATATTGCGTATGTGTGTTTTGTGTGTGTGTGTGTGTGAGATTCACCTGCAATGCAGTAGCAGTGATCTGACCTGGTTTGGCCAGCCAGCTTTGTGTCAATGTCAAATAACAAGGACAGATGTAGTCAAATCAGTCGTGTATGTATTAAACCTTAGTACTAAGCCTCATTATGAAGTCAAATCACTTCAGCTGCGATTTCACATAAAAGTTAAACCTGAATTGTTATTACTCCATACTTGTTTTAATAACAATATACAGTCTGCTTGGATTTAAAGCAGTATTTCACTTTTATAATACACATTTTTTATGACCTATGTTTTGTTAATTGGCATATTTTAGGTTAAATTGAAGGATGAGACACAATGATGCCTTCAGTGGGCTCAGAGGATTAATTTGTCTCCTGAATCCTGTTACATTTGAATTACATTCTGACATTGCTACGATATAATTTGTCCCAAAGGGTCAAGCTTCACCTTAAATTTAGAGGCTGCATTATGACACTATGTCCCTCTGTCCTGCCATTGCTGTAAAGGAAATTGAATGTTGCATATCTGCTCATGAGTCCGTAGCAGGAAACA